TTTAAAACGCGCGTAAAAGCGGAATAAAACCTATATGGTGTACTCCATATTGATGTTTATTTTAACAACTCGATACGAATGATTTTCTGACATTTTAAAAAGGCATCAGCAAGGAATGTCTACCGTGAACGAGTGTTATTACAGGTAAGACACAAACATTTTTACATCGGTAAAAGTAGAATTTTTTAAGAGACGCGGCTGAAACAGATAGAATGTATTTACTATTAAATACATTTTTGAGATAAATTTTTCTACAACTATAAAGTTGTTTTGTAACTACTATTTAATTAAAATTATCTACACTAATGCGAATATATTTTATAATTTATTAGAAATATATATATAAATTATATACAAATATTTTTATACAATGGTACGCATGTTATATGGGAGGACATATAAGATACTTCTAAAAAAACATAGGTTGAAAAAACTTACAGTCAGCATCGACATTATATTGGTACTTGAATTATTATTGCGAAGTGCGGTATTGTATGCTATATTCATCGAGATCTCTCTATACTCATTATGACATTTATTAAGCCAAATTAGTGTATTACCTGAGATGGAGCCTGAGTCTGAAATTTCCATAAGCCCTTGTGCTGTAACAGAATCATTTTCCAATATGAAGCAATGTGGAGTTGATCGGCATCCAGAGGCGATATTAAATAACGAATGATTGATTATTTATATTTCAGGAAGGGGCAACTCAATGTTATTAGAGGGCAAATTTTTAAAAAATTTAAATCTAGCGGGCCAGAGTGTAGAAAACCGAAAAAAATTGTCATTCAAAATATAAATTTCAATTAGCATTTATACACACGGAAATAATAAATTAAACGCACACAACTACACAACACGAATGATACGAAAAAACTGATATAATTGAATAGTCCGGTACAAACAGCTATTGTTGAAAGCTATATATATACAATTAGAAATTTAAATATGTTTAATACCAGATAACAATTATTATATCGATAAGATAGAGTATAGAAAATATAATATGTATGATGTAGTTTAAAAATTAGCACGGATCAGATAAAAAAGGTTGTCAAGGTAACCAGTTGCCCACTCTTGATAAATATGATCAATCACTTGCTATTTATATAGCGTTACATATCTTGCATTTTTTGAACCTTCAATTCTAGTTATATCAGCTCTCCATGGGTTTAATGAAGAGCATATCTTTCAGAGTGCACAACAGAATATCTAATGTGAGAAATGTCATAATACAAATTAATAAAAAAATTCCTATTTCTTTTATTATTATTATATTTTTAGAAAATATGGAAATACTTTTTGAGATTTAATGGATTGAAAATGGTTTATAAAATAAGAATTATTTAAATATTTAGTTTTATATTTCAATTATTTTAACATTAGTCAAAATGCTAACTCTTAGTCTATGCATAAACAAGTTACGTAATGTAATTGTAACAGGTTATTGCACCGAATTTCGGAAATTAAATTTTTACTGTAACTTTACTGTTTTACAAATATTAATAATATTATGTATTTTATTATTCTGAAATAAAAAACAAATTGTATTTGTTAGCCACAGTGTCAGACTTTCACTTAAAACTTTCAATATATTTATAACATATTATTAAATGAATACCTTTTAAAATAAAGTTAGCCAATTTATCCAAGGGGAGTAAAATATTTCATAATTATTTAATAAACATGAAAGATTTTGTTGTTGCGCCGAATAAAATTTCGTCCGAGCGTATTTGGTTTTTGCACCAAACTAAACCGTAAATATAGTTTTTTTAATTTATTTACCATGACATTCATAAGACATATATATTATAATTACTATCTAACCTAACCTATTACACCTATATTATTATACCTATGGCTATTGTACAATTGACAAAATTTTTTTCAGCATTTGTGTGTTGAAAACGAAATTTTGAATAAATTGGACGTAGTTGGTTATTGCACCGGTGCCTTCGATTGTGTATTGATGTAGAATATCAGAACATTTTGTTACACTCCCTAATGTGACTAAACTCGATCCGCAGTGGCAGCCAAGCTAAATTAAGCAGAGCTACGCACCAAACTTAATCGGTATTTTTTCGAAATTATAAGTCATAGGATATAACTTGTAACCAAAAAATGTCTTCAGTATTCGGTGCGTATTTTATAGTCCTCATGATTCTTATTCTACGATTAGGTCGACCGGGGCTTTTCGAAAACAGTATTGGCCACATAGCCACGCCGACTGCCGGACGTAGGCACGCCTATGGTTACACTTTATGTGCATTATAATTACACGAATCTGATCCCGTTCATTTTAACAACCTACCGATGCATCGATTTGATAGGTTTTCACGGGACGATTATAATATTTTTTTTATTTGGTCATATTTTAACAATTACTATGGACTTCGTTGTTCGATAATGTACCATCCACATCGTGGCTCATCCGATACGACGAAAATAGAACGTGTCATCGCCTGCGCAACGAACGATTTCGACGGGGAGAAAACCGCGTTTAGACGAAACGTTTTAAATTCATAACATTATATATGTATACAATATACACATCTATGCGCGTAGTGTTTAATGAATAGCGTAGACGCCGCATAGACGTCTTTATTTTTAATCGCCATGGTGGTGGTCTCAATCTAAACATCGCGTCGTTGAGTGTTTTAAGATCCGTTTATAATAATACTGCGGAGCTCGAAAGCGCGTAAACAATCGCTTTTCCGAAAACAATTTGACGGGACTTTGACTCGTACATCTTTTGCACCTCGAAAACCGATATAACGATTGAAATAAAACGACGCGCGCCGAAAATAGGAACATTTATTGCACAGACGACCGTTATGATTTGTTAGTGTTTGCCATTAACAGTTCATCACATGCATATAATTTATGTACAATGTATGTTCGCATAGCTGTGCAGCGCGAGAACAAAACAAAACAAAACGATGAGCGGAATGAGAAAAAGCGTTCAACACTCATTCGCCGACGTGTCCAACGTGAAACATGTAAATAAATACGAGTATAATTGCATTAGTTTCGATTTTACTGTTGGCCGTTGTTGTCTCGCGGCTTATTAGGAAATACGACCGCGCGTTTGAAAGGTCCGACATCGATTTTTAAAGTTCATAATAATCATGTACAATGTTTTCGTTTGCTTGATAAATGCTGAAACGCTAACTTAACACATTTCAAAACAGTCAACAGTTATAATATATATGATGTCCAACATTAGATAGACGATCACATAGATAGTGTATAGGACACCGTCGTTGGATGATTTTTTTTTTTTTTTTAATCTAAATATTTTGTTCATATAACTATACGAGTTGAGTACAATTACCTTTGAACATACTAAATGATTCAGAAAAATTACCCGAAGAGTTTTAACTTATTACGGTAAGAAATTATAGGTGCATGAAACATGCTGCGATTTGTCCCTGTTTCGTAGATATTATTTTATTACATTTCTTTGTTCTCACACTTAATAGAAAATACGCAATTTGTCCATTATTTTGCGCCAACCGCAATATGACCTAATTAACCCAAGTTGCAGATATACACTATATGCATCCATAAATGGAAAATAATCACTCAATTGATCTAACCTAACCTTTTGTACTATATACGCTCGACGCTTTTATGTTAAAAACTGATACGTTAATTTATTAAAAATATCGTTATCTCTTATATATTACATGAATACATTTTTAAATATCACAAACATTATAAACTTTAAAAAGAAATTAAAAATATTATTCATCAATATATTAACTTGATTAAATTTTTCCTCAACTCAGTACAGCCAATAATATAACAGTTTTAAAAGTAGTAAAAAAAATAAATATCTATTTATATAATTGTATGGCCGACGCCACAGACCGGGTGCACTTATTTTTCACAGTATTATTATTTTTTTTCTCTTTTGCGGTCGTCGTAAAACCCAAATGTAGGTTATCAATGCTGCCAGTAATAAATAAAATCGAACGGGCGAAAAAACGAAAAAAATGTAAGTAAAAATCGTTTCGACATAAATGAATGAAAATTATAGGTTCCATGCGATATTATGGCATTTTCCGAACGCGAAAGGCGTTTTAAGGATATTGCTTTGAGGGTCCAACCCCGACAGTCTAATGCCTATAAGCACATATATATATATATATATTCTTTTAGACTATGAATGTAATAAGTCTGATAGAGTAATAAATTACAAAAAAATAAAATGAAGTTTTTATTCTGAATTCATCTTGTATAGATAAAATCGTAAAAAATAGATAATATTATATTTAATCCATCTTATATATAAAAAGTCTGTTGTAACGGCACGGAAAGAAAATAATAAAAATATAAATTTAATTAATATGTACTCAGTACATATTTAATATTTAATCAATTTTCAAAAGTATTTTAAAAATAGTGTTAATTATAAAATTCGTAAGAATAGATAATATATTTCTCGTACTTAAGTTTTTTTAAATTAGTTTCTTTGGACTACACTACCTCAATTGCAGTCAAAAGCAAGCAAACAATAAAAAAGATAATATTATGTATTACGAGTGATAAATATACATTTTAGTATGGGTTTAATTTAGTATTGAATAAAACATAATATTTCATTAAAATTTGAATTTGTATCCAACAATTAATTTACCAATAATTATATTTTGTACTTTAGTTAATAAGTGATAATTATTATGAAGTTGTGTCGCGAACGTAATTTGCATCATAATGACAAATTATTGCGCTTTATGTGCAAAAATACTTTAGGATTGTTTTCACAAACATATATTTGTATGCTATACTTTTATGCGCAACGCGAATGATACATAACTAAACATAACTCTGCGAAATGTATTGAAACAAGGCATTATTATGTCTTGTGTAATACATTGTTGCAGCGAGAAATAAAACTAATTTATGTATGTCATTTGTGTTATTTTTTCACCAGCTAGATATCCTCACACGATGTTTATTAAACACTTATTAAGATTTGTATGTTTTTTTTTCAGCTTCTGGTTACACAATTTTAAAAACGTTTCTGTTCTATAACGGCGGCGGCACACTCCGCGATGGCATCAATACAACTCGTCAAGATAACAATAACAACCGCGACCGTGGGATTTTCAAATCTTTTATACTGCTGTTTAGTATAGCACATTTGCTTTTTTTTTCGTTTTCGCATCGAATATAATCACTAGGCTAGCGTTCAGGTTCGCGCGCATATAAAACAGTATACGATCCTGGAGGCACTTCTCATGACCGAATTTTTCACGTTCTAAGTTCACAGATACATACACAGGTTCACCATTTTTAGTCTTACAAAGTACTTGTGTAATAGTATTTAAATAAAAGTATACAATACCTGCCATGTACTCAAATACGTATTTTAAATACCTTCTCAGAGTATCTGTGTTTAAAATCAAACACATTTTTTTACAAATTTTATTTCCATTTGTTCACATTCAATTAATTTACCAATTATTTATTCATATAATATTAATAAGATTTATTAACCATTTATCCGTGTTATTTAAATATATTCAATATTTATACGTCTCATATTATAAAAAATTGCCGTACAGACCTATTCCAGCCAATCCCATAAAAAATACCAGAACCTAAGAACCCTATTTATAGTCTACAACATTATATACTATCATGACCATAAAAAAATATAATATACTGCATTATATCAATATATCATATTATATTAATATAATATTATATTATACCCATATCAATTAAAAATTTCATAACAAAATTGGGAATTCGTTTTATTTTTATTTTTCAATTACATTTTAATTCTAATTTATGTCCTATGGGAACTCTGAACTATTTTATTCGTTGCAGTCATGTAGGACATGAATATATTTTTAAAATTGATTTACACTTTATTTTATGATTATAAGGTAAGCAATGTTATGAATTTTTTAAGTATTTGAAAGTATCTTTGAATACTTTTTTGAAGTATCTGTATTCTTACGTGAATACCTTTCTTATAAATTATTCAAACACGCATTTAAAATACTTTTGAAAACAACTATCTATATTTGTATTTTAATATTTTTAAAATGTATCTTTTACTAGATTGGCCATTATTATGTTACTAACATTGATAGCATCTACGCGAGGACTCCGTCACCGAATCGATGAAAACAGGGTTTTAACAATAGAAATAACCGCTTTCTATTAAATTTCTTTTAGATATCGGGGGTGTACATATGTAATTTAAAAGCATCAATTATTGTAAAGTGTGCTTGATTATTCCGAAGACGGTGTCGAGACGAACAATAAGCCTGGCCGCTTGCATTATGTCATACTAAAACGATGTCTACAAATGCGGGTGTTCCGGTCACTAGGAGTTCAAACCGACGCGTAAATAAAGAGAATTCTTAAGTAATAATACTCAAGTATTGTATGGCGGTGCCCGGCGCGTGTAGCGACATTAGAAAATCATGAAATATAAAAATACGTGATAGGTATACGAGTGGGCACGTTGGGGTTCGATTGAAAACAAAAATAAATCGTACACAATCGAGAAAAGCGTCTCGGGGTCTTATTGCTGGCGTACAATGTTATTTAATAACCGTATACATATAATTTACATAACGTTCGTATAAAAGTGTATTATATGTGTTGTACGTAAGTACCGGAGTATAATAAATTAAACGTACGCCACTGCAGTATGGTATACACGTATGGTATAAACCTGATTAAACGCACCCGGACTCGGGTGAATGTATAAATAAAAAAAAAAAAAAAATCTGTCAAAACGGTTTTTGTCTTAAACGCGTCCACCGTAATCGAATACGTATTTAATTCCACTCGGGACCATTCCGACAGACGAATATGAATGTATACTTAATAATACACGAATGGCGTACGGGAGCGGTACGACTGCAGCACCGGCAACCGGAGCCACCCATAGTGCGCGAAGAAACGCGCAGGGGCTATTATATATTTTATACGTCCGGCGCAGGTCCTACATAATAATAATAATATGTATACCGTATATGTGCGTTTGTGTGTTACGAACGTGTGCGAACGTTTGTGTGCGTGTGCGTGTGTTATAATATATCCTAATTAAGAGTGTTTATTTTTTTAATTTTTTTTTTTTCTAGACTCCCCTCACAGGTTTTCGACCGAGGAGGGACCGGACGAAAAAATACTAATATATACAAAACGACCGTGCGCACCAATAGCGTGGAAACATCGTAACCGGAGAGAGAAAGAGAGTGAGAAAAACAATGGATAATATTACGGACAAGAAACGAAACAATATAATAACATACGACGCGTACGTTTCACGCGTACGTCGTCGATAACAGCGATTCTCCGGTTGCCGAGCGTAGCAATAATTATGCACTGCGCGTGAATCACGCCCGTACCGCGATGGCGTATTAAATAATTGCGCGTGCCGTAATAAAATTATTGAAATATTTTTGAGTGGAAATAAAAAAAAAAAATGGAAAAACGCAATCGTCGTCTGCCCTCCTACAGCGACCGACGACTCCGCCACGGTACGTGGAAGCATCGCGCGACAACTAAACGCGCGCATTGTAATTCGTGTGGGTATCAGTCGCGTACGCGATTGTAATTGTTCGGCAATCGGTGTTTTTATTATTATTTTTACGGTTGGTAAACGATAAAAACGGCAAAATAAGGTAATATTTCGGCGCATTGCACAACGGAGCGAGTTAATAACCAATTATACGTACATATAAACCGTCCACGATGCAGCGGCAACTGCAGCAGCAGAAGCAGCAGCAGCAGCGGCAAGAGCTGCAGCTAAGGGATAACATCACGTTGACGATAAGTCGTTCGTTTACAAAATTTAATTGGTCGTAAAAATGGCACCTAGTCCGTTTTTTAATTGAGTTATAAAAACGAAATTAACATCTGCATGTACACGACAGTAAATGTGTTATAAATGTGTATGCGCGCGCGCGCGCGTGTGTGTGTGTGTGTGTGTGTGTGTGTACTGGAAAATGGATTTGCACACTACGACCATGTTATATTCTCACGCATGTCATATGTATTACCTGTATAGAAAAAAAATATTAACGATTTACCGGGAGTGCATCGTGGTATGGCACCCCATTGTTGGGCACTCAAATATTATAATCTTTTTCAATTTTCCGTAGGCGTATTCAATATCGTATACTCGTATAATATTTATTTATATGCATGAAAATCGGGATTCTTTTAAATAAGGAATTTAAAAAAGAAGGTTTCTTCACGCTTACTCTCAGCAAAATTAATAAAATTAACCCTATAAAACATCTGGTTATTATTTCGGTTTTGATACGTATTATAATACTCAATATATTTCGGTTTTCGTATCCTGATGGTATTAAACAATAAGGAATTTCATTTTTATTAATTATATATATATATACATAAATAAATTGATCTTTAAGTGATTTTTAAACTATTTTTTAAATCGTAAATCAACAAAATTGTTAACAGTAATAAGAATAACACACATTATCATATGGTAAGTTTTCAAGAATACATATTACATAAGTTAAAGTAAATAAAAAATGAAAAAATATTAGGTAAATAAATATCGAAGTGCAAAGGGTGTTTTAAATTATAATTATCATCTGTACTTGAGACACAAGAAAAATTGGTTTTTCGAGTATTTCATTTTTATTTTTAAAATATGAAATAAAAACCATCATTAAATTACTAAAAGATATTATTTAAACAAGTATAAATATTCACATGTAAGTTGTATTTAAAATTTAATTACGAACGTGGAACACGATTTAAGTTGGATTTCGTTAATAAATACCTACTTGTAATATTGTATTATATTCAACTATATAAATATACAGTTGCACAGATTCGGACCGAAGGTGTGGGAAGGAATAGTAGGTGTGTACACCCAAAGAAATAAGATGATTTTGTACTTAACACTAACTACCTAAACGAACCCTTTCTTATTAAATATACGGGTACACGCAGTCTTAGTTGGCGTACCTATGTATTACACATCAAAACCATGGTGGCATGTTTATTACCAATTACCTTCTAGCCGGCAAGGGGCTGGTAAAATTATTTAGGATAAGACCAATTAAAAAACCTCTACAGGGATGCTATTCATGTATGTATACATACCGTTGCAGTGAGCCTGTATAGTTATTTTTAAGTACATACAGACGACGCGTCAAACTCGGTGCGTTCCTCGACTTATATTTGGACGTCTAATTTTAGGGAAAAGTATCGTAAAATGTGTAGCGTGATATCAACACATCATTCGAAATAATAGTGAATATACATGTACATGTTTCAAAGTTTTCAAAGACAATTACCGCGATAAAAAAATAAATTTTTCGGTGTAGCCGCCATTATACGTGTTACATACGAGTTCAACAGGGACGCCTGTTCTCAGGCGACCGTGAAGTAAAACGATTTCGAAGAAACGTATAACTGCAACGCCGCTCACCGTCACCATGTAATTTCCTCGTTTATTTTTCGAAATGGTTGGAAGCAGAAGTTTTACAGATCTATCAGAGGAGGGTACAACACACCGGTGACGTGTATTAACGAATTCGTATTCTACATACCTATTAATGTGCACGAATCACGCCCAAAACGCAAACGCATGATCGGTTCATTTCTATGCTCACGTCGCCGGGTACTTAATAAAATCTAGCTGTATAACACCTGTTGCGCGTAACGCCAATCGACCGCATTTATAACAAAAAAAAAAAAAAATGTCTATAGACACAAAATGTATTGTACACGTGTAGAGAGACGATGGTTCAGCGAACATAATGTGTGGATTAGTATTTGTACTCGTTGAATAACGTTCCATCTTCCCTGCCATGCGTTATATTATATCAAATAAATTATAATTTATTATAAATATATATATATATATATATGTTTACGCAGAATACTTGTACATTGTCAACGCGATAATAGAGTAAAATTTTTTTCGAATCGTGGACGCGTTTTTTTCAGTTACCGTCAGGATATTTATAGGTTTCGTACATAATACGTAATGTGTAACGTTTGCAACTAACCCGAATGATACCGAGTAATTACTTGAATCATATTTATGCATGTATCACTATAGTACGGTCACACGATGTTCGCGCACTTTCTGTCGGTAAAATACTTTCAGGTATATCGGCAGCTATAGGTATAAAATGTATTTCTACTATTCAAATTAAAATTTAATTTAAACATTCCTTGTTGTAATCAATTACTAGTTATATACATAGGCGTAACATAGTCCCTCTAGAATTCCTTGAAGCCCCTCCAAAATTTTATTAAAAATTATAAATTAAAAAATTTTAAATATAATTAAATATTTATTTTTTTATATTATTTTAACAACATATACTTAAGTATTATTTAAATAATATTATATATTTCTTATAAAAAATTTAAAATGTTTACACTCTTATACTCTAACAAGGGCATCAATTAACT